TTACAGAAACCTTGTAAAAATAGGTACTATAATCCCTGTGGAGATAATCGGCATGTCCCAAATTAGGCTCTACATCCAGACTTGGGTGTGAGCAGAAACCCTGTCCCTCATATCAGATTTCACTACTTTTTCAGCCCTTTGTACCCCTCAGGCTCCTGTGTGTGATATCTGAGCCTCTCTGCTTCTTTTCCTTCCATGAATTCATTGATTTTTGGTGTTCTTGTCTTTTTTCTTTTTAGCTATGTCCACTTCTCTTAATCGTTAAGGCCTTTCTTTGACATGGGAAGTTGTGGTTATTGAAAAGTAGAATTCCAGTCTCTTGGGTCCATGAACAGAGAAGTACAGAGAAGTTAATAGTGAGGATGTGGATAAAATCCTTGGTGATTAGGAAAAAAAAAGCTTTTGGAGTTCTAAAATGTTGTCCCCTTGTTTCCTTAGGGGAGGATAGTGTTTCATGTTATGTTATGGTTGTGATGTGAGCATTTACATTTTTAAATATTATCGAGAACTTACATTAAATGGGAATGTAAAGTATACACTTTGATTCACTGTCATGTATATATTCTGAAACCATCACCACTATCAAGATGCTTGGTTGGCCTTACACATTGCTTTTTAATTATTATTATTATTATCTGGGAGATATTGTGTGTGTGTCACAATACATGTGGAAGTCAAAGGACTTTCAGGAGTTGGTTATTTCCTTCAGCTGTGGGACCTGGTGATCAAGTTTGGGTTATCAGACTAGCATGTGCTTTACGTGCCTAGTGCTATCTTGCTCACAGACAGTTTTTAACTTTTGAGTGTAGTCTCAGGTAATGAAAGTCTTAACCCTGAGCCACACTCTTACAAAAGTGAGAGCATAAAAGCACTCATCAAGGTTGTTTAGCAGCTTCAAGGACTGCTTGAAACAGTAAAGTGTTAGACTTAATGGCTTGTAATAAAGCTGCTTTTATTATTTGGCAACCAGGTTAGTTCATCTTTACAAATTTCTAGAGAGCTTTTTGTTTGTTTTGGTCTTTTTGAGACAGTCTCATGTAATCCAGGAAGGCCTTAAACTCAACATATAGAGGGCTGGCCAGCCTCCACTCCTGTCTCCACTTCTCAAGGGCTAGGATTACAGGGGTAAACCACCATGCCTGGCTGGAGTGAAATACGTTGAAGCCTAATTGAAAGCAGCAAGAGAAAACAGTTGATGATCCTGATGGTGTCTGTCTCTGCCAGGCCCTACAGTGGGTTTGTAAGAGGGGCAAAAAAAATGTCTGCAGTAGTTATTAGATAGTAATCGAGTGAGACTGGCTAGAATTTTGGAAATAGTCAGGAATTGCTAAGTGAGCTGAGCTTCAATGCCAGAGAATAATGATTAAAACCTTTTGTAAGTTTCTAATGTAGCCAGACTAAGTGTGATTTTGCCAAGGGGGTAAATCTCCACAACTGTCAGCTTTTGGAAAAGTGCCATCCTCTTGTACATAAACACATTGTCCTTCTGTGGACAGTGTGTGTGTGTGCGCGCGTGCGCGCGCGGCCTGCCTGCCTGCCTGCCTGCCTGCCTGCCTGCCTGCCTGCCTGCCTGCCTGCCTGCCTGCCTGCCTGCCTGCCTGCCTGCCTGCCTGCCTGCCTGCCTGCCTGCCTGTGTGTACACTCAAGTAAGCTTGTGGAGGCCCAGGGTATGTCTGTGTTAGATGCCTACCAGTGGTCCCTTCTAGTTTCCTGGGTTCTACAGGTGCTCCAAGTCAAACACACAGCTGAAGATTGACACTAGGGTCCACATAGGAGGGAAAACATGTAACCTTTCTCTTTCTGAGTGTGGGCCTGCTATTTTTCAGTTACATACATTTACCTACACATTTCATGATTTTATCTTTGCAGCTTTATAGGTACCACATTTTCATTATTCATTCATCAACTGATGGATGTCTAGGCTGATTCCATGTCCCAGATCTTGAAAATAGAGCAGTGATGAAAATGGATGGGCATGTATATCTCTGAGTAGGCATTGGACTCCTTTGGGTTATATGCCAAGGAATGGTCTAGATGGGCCATATAGTAGGTCTGTTTCTAGTTTTCTGAGGAACTGAACTGATTTACATAGTCAACCCGGCATTTTATATGGTCTGGGGATCAAAACTTAGGTCCTTGCACTTGTGAAGCAGATACTTCACCAACTGAGCCATCTCCTCAGCCCACACTGGCCGTCAAGCCTGACAGCCTGAGTTCAATCTCTGGAACCCACGTGGTGGAAAGAGAAAACTGATCTTGCAAGTAGTCTTGTCCATGCCATGGCACACATGTGCCCACTCTATCATCACCCCCCTCCCAAAAATAGCATACACAGACTTAAATATAAATCACAAAACTATAAACTCCCAGAAGACAAAAGAAGAAATCTAAACACTGTTGCCTTGGCAATGACCTGTGAGTTATATCAACAAATGTACAATCATCAGAATTAGAAATTTAGGCTTGGCTAAAGACAGTGTCAAGAGAATAAAAAGATACAAACTGCAAGAAAAATTTCAAGACATATCTGACAAAGGACTGTTATGCAAACACATACGGAACTCTCTACAGGGGGTGGTAGTGCCTGCCTTTAATCCCAGCTCTCATTTTCTCTTTCCCACCCCTTCATTTCCCCCCTCAAATTATGACCCCTTTTTTAAAATTACTGTTATATATACATATGTAAATGCAAAAATATAAAAATCCAACCCATTGAGTCCCTTTAGTGTTGTATCCAATTGGGGGAACCTCCCTAGAGGAAGTTCTAATTCTCTAATTCTTCTCTCAGCAATTAACAGATGTCTGAATGGGATGGGGCTCCCTGAGATTGCCCCCTTTCACATAAACATGTTCAATCATGCTGTCATTTGCTCATGTCTTCTTTTGGCAGCCAAATTCAATCTATACAGTAAACACAAAATCAAACACTTCAAAATGTGTACCATACACATCCTCACAACTAAAGCAGAAAGTATGTCTACTATACATATTTTAGAGATGGGAAAATTATGTTAATGAGATGGACTGTTGGAAAGACTGTCTTTTCTATCCTCTGTTCATTTTGTTTCTTTTACACCAAACACAATGGTGTTCATGTGAATCATTTCTGGACTTTCAGCTGTTTCATTCATCATGTTTATGTTTGAGTGTTGGTTTTTTAGGTTTCTGAGATAGCCTGGACTATGAATGTATAGGCTAACCTTAAATTATATCAGTCTTCTTGCTTCACCCTTCAAGTGCTGGGATTATAGTACGAGCTACCCTGCCCAACTCAATGACATCTTGGTTATTATAAGATTACCATAAACTGGCTGGGTGGTGGTGGCGCATGCCTAATCCCAGCACTTGAGAGGCAGATACAGGCAGATCTCTGTGAGTTCAAGGCCAGACTGGACTACTGAGCAAGTTCCAAAGCTACAGAGAAACTCTGTCTTGAAAGAAAAAAAAAATAATTTGTAAGTTAATTTTTTACCTCATGTACAATTTAGAGAAGTTTGACAAGTATCTATAAAAAACTCACTGGGATTTGATTGGAGTTGCATTAAAATTGTAGATAAGGAAGAACAATATCATCTTCTCAATGCCTAGACGGTCGCAGTTTATTTCTTCTTTGGTTTAACATTTTGTCATTTTCTTGTAGGTCTTATACATTTGTTAAGTTTAGATCTACATGTCCCGTCCCCCAATGGGTGTACATGGTTTTAAAATTTCAGATACCACCTGTTGGCTGCCACATATGGAATAGTAGGTTTTTATGTGTTACCTTAATGTGTATGCTCTTTGGATAGTTTTTTTGTTTTGTTTTGTTTTGTTTTTAATTCTTCAGCTTTTCTGCTTAGATAGTTGTATTAGTTAAAAGACAGGACACTTCTGTTCTTTCCTTCCCAATCTGTAGATATTTTATTTGTGCACTGGCAGTAGTAAGAGGTACCCTCCTGCCTGTTTCCTAATCTTAATGGGAAACTTCAAATTTGTTACCTTTAAATTTAGTGTTTTAGGGCTTTTTTTTTTTTTAACTATTCTTTATGAAGCTAAGGAATCATCCCCCTACTAGTATTAATGAGTGTTTATCAGGAAGAAGTACTAGGCTTTGCCAAATGGTTTTTCCTCATCTGATATGATTATATGATTTTTTTTTGCCTACCCTGATAGCATAAATTAGTTAATATCTGAAGATTGAACCAGTTCTGGATACCTGCCTTGGAGTGGTATATAATTTTTTTTTTTTTTTTTTTTTTTTTTTTTTTTTTTTTTTTTGGAGCCTATCCTGGCACTCGCTTTGGAGACCAGGCTGGCCTCGACCTCACAGAGATCCGCCTGCCTCTGCCTCCCGAGTGCTGGGATTAAAGGTGTACACCACAACGCCCGGTTGTAATTCTTTTTCTAAAGTATTATATTTGATTTGTCTAATTTTTTTCTTTAGCATTAAGGTAATTTTTGCTTCGTAACATGCATTAGAAAGTTTCTCTTTAGTCTTGTGAAAATAGAAAGTTATTTCTTAAATGTTAAGCAGAATTTGCCATTGAACCCATCTGGAGTTGGTGCTTTCTTTTTTAAAGGGTTATTATTGATTCAGTTTCTGTAGATAAGGCTTATTCGTATTATCTCTGTTCTTAAGCTGCTGTATGTAATGTTTCAGACAATTGGTCTGTTTTCATCTAGTGGATGAAATTACAAGCATAGGTGTGTTCACTCTCATTATGCTTTAGTGTCGATACAAGTGCAGCTACACCTGATGCAGTCCCTCAAGTATGGTTTCTTTGCTCCCACTGCTAGAAGCTCAGGGAGTTTTCTTCTAATGTTTTCCCTGAGGAAGTGGAGATTCAAAATGATAAACCCCACCTCTGATTGGGTCCTCTTAGAACTTCCTCTCCACTTTCCTACTCTGATTCTCTTGTATACAATTTGAGATATGAGAGCTGTCTTGGACGTGAGGCTATTGATGCACTGTGAATAGCAGCTTACTCATTGACACTGTTCCTGTCACCCCTTCTCTGCAGGTGCACTGACAGAGTGCTACGATGAGCTGGGGAACCGGTACCAACTGCCAGTCTATTGCTTGGCACCACCAATCAACATGATAGAGGAAAAGAGTGACATTGAGACTCTGGATATCCCTGAGCCACCTCCCAATTCTGGACATGAATCTCAGCTCCGTCTGCGCCTCTCCACAGGCAAAGACCTCAAGCTTGTGGTGCGCAGCACAGACACAGTGTTCCACATGAAGAGGCGCTTACATGCCACAGAGGGGGTGGAGCCGGGCAGTCAGCGTTGGTTCTTCTCTGGCAGGCCTCTCACTGATAAAATGAAGCTGGAGGAGCTGAAGATCCCAAAGGACTATGTGGTGCAGGTTATCGTGAGCCAGCCTGTGCAAAACCCAACACCAGTGGAGAACTAAGCTGGGTTTGTCTGCTTCCCAGATCCTCAGCTCCTTTTTATTATCATTTCCTACTCTATGGCGTGAAATGTATTTTCACTGCTCTGAATTTCCTGTGAATGGATTTAGTTCTGAGGAATTACCAGTGAAAAATTCCATCTGTGATGGAGACCAACAAAAATAATAAAACACACAGAGCCAGACTCTGGGACTCCTGTAATTACAGTTTCTAATTTGAGAGGCAGTTAAGTAATAGATAACCATTTATTTTAAAACATTTATCAACTATATAATGGCTGTATTTAAATGATTTGGAGTGTAAACAGACACCAAACCCATCAAGAACAGCACCAAGCACCTTTTGGATACAAAATTTTATAAAACATTTATGTCAAATTATATTTCAGAATCATCAATAACAGTTACAAGCCGGGCAGTGGTGGTGCACACATTTGATCCCAGCACTTGAGAAGCAGAGGCAGGCAGATCTCTGAGTTTGAGGCCAGCCTGGTCTACAGAGCTACACAGAGAAACCCTGTCTTGAAAAAACAAAATCCAAAATAATAATAATAATTACAAAACTTAAACTTTTTTTTTCTTTTGGAACCTAAAAGAGCTGAGGGGTTTGTTTCTCTTCTGGGCTTGTATTCATACTCCACCAGAAAGCAGTGGAGACTGGGAGTTGTCAGTGTTGCCTCCCCAAGTCACGCTCCTCATGCACATTCACTCAGTTCTGCTGCCGCCCAACACACTGGCAGGAGGCACCCTCTGGAACACTAGACAATAATTCAGTAAGTAGTCAGAGTTCTCATTCTCAGTTAAGAGCTTGTTTTGCTGCATAGTAGTTCTAAAATGGCTATAATACCCAGGCTTGAGATGGCTAGCTACTATGTAATGCCTTCACTGATCCTGCCATTCTGTGTGGCCATTTCTGGAGCTAACTGACCCTATCTATGTTTCTGGGCCAGGCACCATGGAAATGGAGTATAACTGCTCCCACTCCAGAATAAAAAACAACCCTCTCTTCCCCACCTTGCAGGAGATGTAAGTTAAACCTCTCTGCCGGTTCCTGGGGAAACTGCCTATTCTCAGCCTTGGAAAAAACTCCAACTCAACATTTTCAAGTGTGAAGGTTTGCAGTGTCTCTTAAACAACACTGGTGAGAACAAATAGTGGCACCTGGCCCTAGCCCTCGGTGCTCTTTACTTCATTCTGACTCTAGTCATTGTGGGTGGCAGTGTACCTCCCGCACATTCCCCACAAAGAGGTGAATAACCACCATCTGTACATGGGGTTGAGGGACTGGAACACAGTGAACCAGCCTTACCTCCTCTGGAGAAGGCTGAAGAAAGCTGCCAAGGGTTGTATTTAATCTGGAGCCTTTTAAAAGCAGATTCTGCCAGGCATAGTGGTGCTTGCATTTAATCCCAGGGAGCAGAAGTAAGCAGATCTCAGAATTTGAGACCAGTCTGGAATACAAAGGTGGTTCTAGGCCAATTGGAGCTGCAAAGTGAGACCCTGTCTCAAAAAAAAAAGTTGATTCCATGAGAAGAGGGCTAATGTGACCACACTATATCTTTGAGAATCTGTGAGCTGTGAACAGTAGACGAAAGAGAGCTCTATGTTCTTCTCAGTAGGGAAATACTAAACCTTCAGCACCTATTTGGATGATAAAACACCATAATTTAGTGGCAAAATGAAACTAAGTAGTTTAAAATGTAATGTTTAAAGTGGTGTTAAATTTCCTGTAGCCTGTTTAAATATACTTATAATTGTAACTTATGTTTCTGAAAACTGTTAACCACTTCCCTAATTCTGTTCATTTTAAAGCTTGTGACTACACCTAATTTAGACTTGATGGTGATTGAGTCTAAATTCAGGAGAAGCACACAGCTTTATCAACGAAGAAGGTGCTCACATTCCTGTGTGGAGGCTCCAGGGCAGCTCAATGCTTTGGCCTACCATCAAGAGGGTTGATTCATTTACCACATTGAATAACAATATCTCAAAGTCCATCAACTGGAATAGAGTGTTTAAGCCAATTATTTTTCTAAAGGAAATTTGATGCTGTCACCAATAACCTGTTTGGTAAAAGGTCTTGTTTGTTTCTTGAGGGTTGACCTCTCTTAAGAGTTTTTTTATTTTAAAGGAACATATACTTTGAATAACAATCCTCCAGGCGTGTTTAACCTAGGTGAGAAAAAAATGGTGCTGGTAATTGTCAATAGACTGATGTAAGATTGGATCAATACTTGATGTGTATAATTTTAGTATGTAGGAGTTTTGTGCTTTTTTTAAAAAAAAAAAGTTCCAACTTTTCTCTTTGTCTTTGCCTTTATTCTGAGTTTGTTGGGTTTTTTTTTTTTTTTTGTGGAGGGGGTGGTTTTGGGGACAGGATTTTTCTGTGTAGCCCTTGCTGTCCTGGAACTAACTGTAGACCAGACTGGCCTGGAACTTACTTGCCTCTGCCTCCCGAGGGCTGTGATTAAGGCATGCCCCACCACCACCCAGCTATTCTGGGTTTCTAACTATTCCTCTGTAAAATAGTAGACTCACATTGTATGGGGAAGTGGGAGGTTTCTTCCTCTCTAAAACCGGTAGTGAGATCATGACCACCAAACTTAAGTTCTGCTACAGCACATACCACAGGTCACTTAGAGCTGTGACTCATCAGCACTGCAGTCTCGGCCTAGGATAGGTTGACCGGGATGGGGAAGGTGACTCAGACAGTGCTGCTTGCATGCTGCTGAGGCCATAAAATCTGAGTCTTTCTTACCAGGTATACTTGCACACACCTCTAGTCCTAGCACTGAGGGTAGAAGCAAACTCAGTTGGAGGGCAGCTTGGTCTACCTAGTGAGTTCCCAACCTGCCAGGTTGACTTGAGTTCTGTCTTTAACAACAAAATCTGCTCACCTTTTGTGGCCTCTGGGTTTCTTCAAAGGGCCTTCCCCATTTGTCAGGATACCAGCCTCCTCGATTAGCCCTCTCTCACTACTTCATTGTTATCTGGAGCATCTGTGTGTGAAAATAACAGACAGTAGCCCCTTTTCCTGAAGATACTTGGTAACTTATCCATCTTTCTCCATGGTGAGGGTAGGTAGCCCGCTTAGCAAATGGGCATCACTCAGCTTGTTGGATCCTGTGATGCATTTTACATAGAAAAAGAATTAAGCTGATAGCGTCTTCCCAGACAGCTTATGTCCTGTGACTATTCTTGGGATCTCTTGTGATGTTGGCCTGTTAGCCTGTCATTTCTAGTTCTGTGACAAGAGCCTGGGTGACTTCATCAGAGGTTGGACAGTTGACTTGGCCTTGCCTAGGCTTTTGAGGCCTAGGAGACATGAGATCCAAGCACTGGAGGAAGAGATGACCACTTTGCTTACTTATTGCCTCTTCAAAGTTCCTTCCTGCTGATAGTGGTGTTGAAGAATCTGCCTGTGGCCCTGGTCTGGAACCTTCACCAGGCCACTGTCCCTCCCCATTGCCTGTGCCCTAGAACACTTGTATAACTAGGAACACACAGTGCGGTATGAAGAAAACTTCAGCCTGGAAAGCATTGACACACACACACACACACACACACACACGCGCACACACACACACACACACACAGAGAGAGAGAGAGAGAGAGAGAGAGAGAGAGAGAGAAAGAATGGAACCCAGGACCTCACGTATGTCATCACACCCTTATTGCTGAATCACATACCAGGCCCTATGTACTCATTTTTAATCTGTCACTGGTGGGGAGAGGGAGCAGGGGCTGTTGAGATGGACCCTCGTTCGATCCCCAGCACTAGCATGGCAGCTCACAACTCTCCATATCTCCAGTTTCAAGCCCTTTTCTGACCTCTGAGGGCAGCAGGCACCCACATGGTGGATAGACATATACATAAGCAAAATAAGTATGCGAAATGAAGTAAATTAAAAACGTCCTAAAGCAAAATAGTCTTGGATTGGTTTCTTGTATGCCTAGTCCCAACACAATATCAGTTAACTGATTTGTTTGAATTTAGATTTTGGCACAGGGTCTAGTTTATCAAATAACCCCAGATATTCTAGAACGGCCAAGAGTTTCACTATGAAGTCTAGGATGCCCTTGCAGTCCTCCTGCCGCAGCCCGTGGGTGCTGCAAAAACATGTGCCACTGACCCACAGGGGCCTCCAGTTGATGAAGATGCTTTGAAAAGGAATTTTAAAGTCTGATGGGATGTCGGGTGGTGGTGGTACACATCTTTAACTCCAACACTTAGGAGGCAGAGGCAGGAGGATCTCTGTGGGTTCAAGGCCAGCCTGGTCTACTGATCGAGTTCCAAGACAGCCAGGGCTACACAGAGAAACCCTGTCTCAAAACTAAATAAATTCCATGTTCTGTTCATTATACCTTTACAGTAGTGCCCTGGGACCCCCATGGGGGAAAGGACAGGTTAATTACCTAATCTCTTCACCTTTCCTCCCCAATCCCTGTTTGAGTAAAGAACATTTGTTCCCAGATCTATTACCCTTAAGACCATCTCTGCAAACAGAGACCTCTGTAGTGTCTTCCCAGAGAATCACACCTATTCCCTGAAGTTGCTGCCTGACAAAAGCCACCTAGGCTGCTTCAAAAGAGACCAGACCCTATGAAGATGAGTTCAGTGGTGAAGTGCTTTGCGTTGGCCTTTCTCTAGATGCCATTTTTTCTCTTTGTAGTGCCTCTCTGCATACTCTGCATAGTTTCCCTGTCTCCCTGTTGCAAACACTAGTAATCGCACACTCCTAACGTTGGAAGGGCATAGGGAGTGATGGGAGATGCTTGCAGTTCCCTCAAAGTGGTGCCTTTGTTTCTATAGAAAGGATTGAAGGGCTGGAGGGACATCTCAGTGGATAAAAGCACTAGCTGCTTTTCCAGAGTTCCCAGGTTCAATTCCCAGCGCCCACATGGCAGCTCACAACTGTCTGTAACTCCAGTTCCAAGGGACCTGACACCCATAGTAAAACACCAATGCACATTTTTAAAAAGTGACCAGTTCTATCTGGGGTTTGGTTTGGTTTTGCTGGTCTCATTCTTACTGTGGTATGACCCCATGGGGAGAAGTGTTTACGGCCAGTTTCATTAATCGTGCTCAAAAGCTTGTTAGCCAAATCTCCCATTTGTTCATGATGTTTCACAATAACTGGTTTCATAATTCCCAGTCTGACTTGTAGATAAGGATCTTAGGTAAGCAGTACTCTTGTACATTGGTAGAAGGAATTCTCACCAGCCTGATCATGACTCTGGCAGGCCTTGCCCTTCCCCCATTCCCTCTGCCTTGCAAAAAACCCTTATATTACATTCCTAAAACTAGCGACCAAGGTCTGTTCCCTTAGTTGGTCACTTCTTCCTGAGGCTGACTACCAAGGTCCAGCTATCAAAGTATTAAATAATAAAGTCCAGCAATCAAAAGCCCCCTTTGTTGTCCTAATTAACATGCCCAATCAAAATGAAACACGGGATTTCCCCCTTGTACCTTAATATACCAGCCATTTGCTTATGTGCCTTGTCTGTCTCCTCTCTATTCCAGAGGTAGCCATGTCCCCTTGGACAAATACCCCTTACCCCTCTCCCTTGTTCCTTTCCCCTTCTCCCTCATCCTCTGTCTCCTGTCTTTGTTTCTTTTGCCTTCTGTCCCTCTGGGGCAAATAAATCTTTGTGCTGAGAACTTTGTCTTGGAGCATCTTAAACAGATACCAGTCCATTGGTGGCACAATCAGGTTTGGTTATGGTATTGAGTATCATATCAGTTGTTTTGGGGACCCTCAAACTCACCGGTTGCCTTGAGGTCAGTTAGAACTCTTAAATCATGGGTGTATGTCATAAATGATCTGTGTTTTTTCATTCTTCAGCCATGTTCCTCAGAGACTTACAGTGAGAGGTGTAGTAATAAACATTAAATAGGAGGGATTTCTGAACCAGTTAATTTGTTAGCTTAAATTTTTAAAAAGAAGTCTGGCTTGGTGGAGCATGCATAATCTCAGCATCCAGCACATAGGTGCAGAGGCAGGAGCATCACAGGTTGGAGGCCAGCCTGGCCTACATAGAGGGACCCTGTTTCAACAAAACCTCTCCAAATACACACAATCTGCTGGGCTGGAGAGATGGCTCAGCAGATAAGAGAACTGACAGCTCTTCCAGGGGACCCAGGTTCAATTCCCAGCACCCACATAGCAGCTCATAACTGTAACTCCAGATTCAACACCCTCACACAGACATACATACAGGTGAAACACTAATAAAATAAAAATAAATATAATTTGCCAAAGTTCTTAGACCCCAGGCTGTGAGTGCTAGCATCCTGGTTCTACTACCTGTGAGACATGTTTGAGTTTCTTAATTTCTCTGGGGCTCAGTTTCCTCTTTTGTAAACAAAATAGCCCCACCTAGATGACAGTGTTAAAAGCATAAGTTGTGTGTCTTAAATCACTGCCCCACCTGCACCAAGCACAAGATTGTGATGAAGACTGTCAGAACACGATTTAAGCCAATAGAAAGCCTCTATTAGCCAGCCAGCGACTATACTGGGCATTCGGGAGCTCAGGGTAGTCCTGAGCCTTTCTCAGGGAGAGCTTTTAAGCAAAGCAAAACAAAACAAAACCAAAAAACAAACAAAACCAAAAACAACATGTTCTGGGTTGACATACTTCAGTTAACAAGAACAGCCAGAAACAGAATTACAAAAGCCAACAAGGGTTAATACATTTAGAGACTTTACCAGAACTATGGGCTTTGATGGATTAGGTCTTTGTTTTTGTTTTTTTGGCTGGTTGATGCTGTCTGCGTTCGGATTCTTACAGCCCAAATTGTACTTTCATCATGTGGTCAGCCGTGCTAATGTCTGGGTCCCTGTCACAGTTGTTACAATGATGATATAGTCCCTTGGTGGGGGGAAGGTCACAAAAATCTCATGCCAAAGAATTTTTAAGTCATTCAAGGTAGCTCTGCATGGTCTCTACATAGCCCTGGCTGTCCTGGAACTCGCTATGTACATGAGACTGCCTTCAAATTCACAGAGATCCAAGTGCTGGGATTAAAGGTGTATACCACTTTGTGGATTCATGAAAAGTTAAAATGGAAGAGGGGCACATATTAATATTTTACCCTAGTAAGTTTTATTCTGTTTTCTAAGCCCTTCACATGTTGGAGTAATTCAGGCTCTAAGGAACACAGCCTAAGCTAGGACAGTGGCATACTCCTTAACCCAAGGCTAAGGCAGGAGGATCATTTCATACTACAAAGTTGGAGGTCAGCCTGGGCAACAGTGAGTCTCAATGAAACATAGTCTCAAAGGAGAAAAGACAGCTTCCATGTCCTTTAAAGTCAACCTGCCTTGTCACCATTGGCCCACTGGAGTCTGGCATCCAGGGGGGCTTAGTCTAGAAAGAATTCCAAGAGCATTGGACCACTGGCAAAGAGTGGAAATGGATCACTTCCTTCAACTGCTGGGCTCCGTAAGTCATCAGGTATCTGTGAACATGGCCTGCTAACAAGCAGAAGCAAAACTGGACCACATGGAAGAAGTGTAGCTCAGATATAGAAACCTGTTTTGATAGCTGGGCATAGAAGTACACACCTTGTAATCCCAGCATTTGGGAGATGGAGGTAGGAGAATCAGGAACTCGAGGTCATCTTCAACTATATAGTAAGTTTGAGGCCAGTCTGGGCTACATGAGACCCTGTCTCAAAAAAAATTAAAAAGACACTGGGTATGAATGGCACAAACCTTTAATCCTGGCACTCGGGGACAGATCTCTGTGAGTTTGAGGCCAGCCTGGTTTACATAGCCAGTTCCAGACCAGCCAAAACTATACTGTGAGACCCTGTCTCAATGAATAAGTAAATAAATGAACAATGCATGCATGCATGCATGCATGCATGCATACACACATACATACATACATACATACATACATACATACATACATACATACATACATAAAATAAAGATGTACTTTGGTGCTCTACTTCATATGGCCATGTTAATTTTAATTAGTCATGCTCACGTCCGTATCAAAGGAGACTCAGACTCCGACTCCTCTGGGTTAGCCCAGTCGAAAACATCTTCCTTAGATGATGATACTTCTCTCTCTCTTTCTCTTTCTCCTTCTCTTTCTCTTTCCTTTTCTCTCTCTCTCTCTCTTCCTGTCTTTCTTTCCTCCTTTTTTTCCTGTCTACGGCTTTGTCAGTGCAGAAGATTGTGTACAGCTTAAATTCCTTGTAATTAAGCAGCTTTTATTGGGGGAGGGGGAGAAGAAACATAGCAAAGTTTAGTAAGATTGTAATGGTGTGTTACTCTGGACTCAGGAACTTAGAGGCGTAGGGGTTAGGTCAGTTACCAGCTGACTGGGGGCCTGGTACCCAGGACCAGTGAAGTCATGGGAACAGCTTCACCTTGTCCTGTCACCATATCATCCTCCCACTATGGTCACCTGCTTCCCTTACACAGGCAGAAGTTGCCATCCTCCCTGGAGCTTTTTCAGGATTTTCTCACTTGGTTCTGTCATAGAGTTTTTTCCTTTCTGCTTTTTCAAATCTATAAACGCTCCCCTGATCATCATGCTATATCACCACCTTAGTCTGCCTCCTCTAAACCTCTATAATTGTGTGTCTGAATAGCCAATCCTTCCTTTGCCAGGACCTATTTGTCTCAGTCTTTTTCCCAGTCCCAGGCTATTGCCAGCCTCCTCCACATCATCCCACCACTGGTGCAGGGCATGGCCCTCTGCCCCACAATTCACAAATCTGCACTTACTCGGTCACCTGTGATGTCAAAGTCATGGAAAAGCTCTCGGAGTTCCTGCTTTTTAATGTTGAAGAGAAATCTGTACATTTGAAAATTGGATGCACCTATTTTCAACTCCCCATCCAAGTCAAGCAGGTCAAAAACTGGCCGGGAATGGCGGTACATGAACTGATCTTCCAGATGATTCTATTTGGAGAGAAATGTGTGGGAATATTGGTGCTAACCTGTAAGGGTGTTACACCAAGATTTATATAGTTGGGGGCTGGAGAGATGGCTCAGAGGTTAAGAGCACTGGCTGTTCTTCCAGGGGACTTGAGTTCAAATCCTAGCATCCACATGGTGGCTCACAGCCATCCATAATGAGACCTGGTGCCCTCTTTTGGCCTGCAGGCATACATGTAGACAGAAACACTGTATACACAATAATCTTCTTTAAAAATTATATAGTTACCAGCTATTCCCTAGAGAGATCAGAGCAAAAAGCAAGCTCCCAAACTTGGGGAAGGACTGTGTGAAGAAGGGGCAAGGCCCACATGAGTCCCCGAGTTCAAGGGGCCCTTCTGTGGTGGTCAATTCTGCTTAAAGAACGGCTCTAGCTACCACCATGCACTGATCATCTCGGGAAGCTCTGACCTTGGTACTCGCACAGATCCCTTTCCTCAAGGAACAGAAGCTAGCAAATGCACAACTAGTGTCTCACGATGAGGGTGGGATCCAAGGAGCAGCATCCCCCTTCCCTTTGTGTTGGCCTCAGCAGAAAATCCTCTGAACCCAAGGATCAGCCAGGGCAGGAGAGAGAGGTACTTGGGATGGATAGTGGCTCTTTGAAACTCATCAGCCCAACTGGACAGTGGTTATACACACCTTTAATCCCAGTACTCGGGAGGCAGAGGCAGGCAGATTCTGTGAGTTTAATGCCAGCCTGGTCTACAGAGTGAGTTCCAGGACAGTCAGAACTGTGACAAAGAGAAATCCTGTCTCAAAAAACAAACAAACAAACAAACAAACAAAAACTCATCAGCCAGGAGGACAAGCAGTTCAAGAAAGTTGGGCAGTTGGGCAGGGGCCACATTTTTCTGACACGGAGAGGCAGTGTGGGACAACTGGAGATGAGTGGCAGCTGCAGAGAGAAGCTGGGAAGGTGCTAGAATGTCCAGGTTGATTCAGGAACCAACAATGAATTTCCCATTCTATTTTCCATCCACCCATTTGTAGTGATGGAAAAGCATTCCAAGTGAAGTGCTCTCACTTCAGCGTCAGCTTTATCAAGACTGGGGACAGCCCTGTCCCCTGCCCCCCTCCAGCCCCACCAACTTTGGTACTCACCTGATGTGACAGCACTATGCAAACCAACACATAGAACTGGTCAAAACCAATCTCTCCAACAGCTGTCCAGTCCATCATGTCAAATACCTTCTGGATCTGTGTGGTTTTCAAGTTAGTCACATGGTGGAGGAAATGGATAAACAGCACATCTAGGGGAGAGGGGAACCAAATGGATTGTTTTAGAACAGCAGCCACATGAAAATGTAGAAGCGTTGGAAGCTTACTGTGCTAAGAAGAAGAATGACAAGATTTGATTTCTGGCTTCTCACTGAACCTTCCACAATTCCTCAAGCCTTTAGTTGCCTTTGCTGTGGAGAAGCAGTGTGCAAAGTTATTGAAGCTGAGTGACCAGTTGACATACTTGCCCAGATAACATGGTGGTGGGCGGTGCTTGCCTCCTGACCCCAGTTAAAGATGATTTTCCACATATCACCAATGACAGACAGACAAGCTGCTGATGAGTGGGGTGCTCTTTTCAAGGAAAGAGAGCTTCCTCTTACTTTGTCAAAGATGTTAACATTTGGGTGGGAGAGATGGCTCTGCCAGTAAAAACACTTGTCGTGCAAGCCTGGAGACCTGTGTTTTATCCCCCAGAAGCTATGTAAAAGTATAAGGAGAGACTGAACTCCCCAGAGTTGCCTTTTGACCTTCCCATGCACACAAACATCTTGCACATACAGATACTCACATAAAATATTCTTTTCAAAGATCCTGATGTTTTCCTCAGACTTTCCCATGAGTCCTTACATCAGAATGGGAAGTTTAAAAATCATTCCTCCCTATGAGAGAGTTCCTAGAGTTTTCCATGCTTACTCAGAGCAAAGGTTTCTGGCTGTGGAGGGAGGGAGCCTTCCCTATGCTAAGCACCTTTGAATGCCAAGTCTCTGCAAACTCTGAGAACCCAACAGGGAAGTGGTGGCACACCCCATTGCCAGCAGATCAGCTGCTTAGGGATCTTGTCAAGTGCAGTTCCTGCTTCAGGGAATATGGCATGGGAGAGACTCCACATTGTTCCCCAGCTCCAATGTGATATGGCTGCTGGTGGTCTGTGGGTCCTGGAACTTGCGTTGTAGAGCAGGCTAGCCTTGAACTCACTGAAATCCATCTGCCTCTGCCTCTGCCTCCCAAGTGCACTCCTGGTGGGTCTCACTTTTGAGTGGCAGAGTTGGGGCTCACATGTGGGTCAGCCTGGTGGCAACTGTGCACTTGCTACTATGAAGCCACATCGTTTGTGCATTAGTTTGCACATATTCAACCAGAAACATCCAGGGAAAGCACTGTAATTTAAAGAACAGGAAGGTCCTTGTCATTCCACTTACCAACCATTACAGCCAGAATAAGACAGGAGCAGCACAGTGATGGATTGTGGCCTGGAAGTGTAAATCAAATAAGCCCTTTTCTCTTTCCAGTTGAAAAAATAGTCTATTGGTACCATGAATGGCAGACACAGGAGCATATACCTGTATCCACATTTATTTCTGTTTCCTCTTTTTTTTTTTTTTTTTTTTTTTTTTTGTTTTTTTGTTTCGTG